TCTTAATATGTTGGTATTTTTTATTTTACTTTAAAATTGTTCATTTTAATTTAACTTCAAATTTTAGAAGATCTTGACCTTCTCCTATATACGGAAAATTATATATATATATATATATATAGATTAACTTGGCTTAAAAAATGCATGATGCATATTAAAAATTAGGCATTACATGGAGTTGAAAAAATAAGAAAGTATAGATGAAGTGAATTTAGGTGGTTAACGACTATTGAAGAGTAGCTTTCACATTAACAAAATCCAATCAAAACTCATTTTGTATGGTGTATAATGGGGATTTGATAGGAACAAGTGAAATTTTGCATATATTATCAATACCTTGTATAGTGGGGTGGGAAATGCTAGTGTTAGTCAAAAGAAAGCTAGAATGGTGGTGTCAGTGAAATTTTTGCTTCAAAACACTGGCCTGTAGAAATATTACTGGTTAAGTTTATCTAAACCTAAAACAATTTTTCCTGTTTCAGGCTTTCCCACAAGGTTCTCCACTAGGGTCATACATGTCCAAGGCAATCCTGAGAGTAAGTGTGAATAAAACCTTGATGGATGTAGAGAGTGAAAGGAATTTCCTTTCAGGATCTAGAGACCAAGATCTTCTGTCTAAAAAACCTTGGGCTCCTAGGATGATGTTAGAGGTGAAGATTATAAAAGTCTTTCCGCAAGGTTTTGGCAATACAAACATCCAGTGATGCACCTAACATTAGCACACCATAGATTTATATTGTTTTGTTGACGCATATCCATCCTCCTTCCATTCTTTACAGATTGGCTCAACTTAATTCTATTCTTTAATCCATATATCCCTAGTGGCTTAAAATGATTCTTGATAGACATATAATATTAATTTCAGCTTTCATGTTCCCTACTTTGTTACATAGCAGCCTCTTGGTTACTGAATATTCCTACACCTCATGTTTTATGCCCCATGTAACCCATTAGGCCATTACTACTGTTTTCCTGTTGTAGTTATTGTCATCGCAAAAATTATTAAGCTCACCAAAAAATTTGAGCTTGTTTCTTAAACAGTTTTCAAAAATATTAGTTTATTAACTGATTTTAATTTGTTAAATAATAAATATTAATTATTTTATTAATTAATAATTATTAATTATAATTATTAATTATTTTTATCAATTAAACTAATAAAGTTAATATTATTAAAGATAATATTTTATAATTTTAACAACCATAGTATA